TCATCGAAATTCTCTCCCCTGTGTGGGATGAGTTTCGATCCAAGGGCTCTTGTTAGTAAACTGCCTTTTGCCATTGCATCAAGTCAGTCTCTCGTGTCTCCTTGGGTGCGCGCTAATTGGGACTTGAGATGGGGTCCTCTTCGTGGGCCCTTACAGAGGACCTGAGTTCAGTTTCTATTACCTACATGGCAGCCCGGTCACGTGATTCCAGTTCCAGAGGATCCAACAATCCTCTTCTGGGTTCCGTGGGGACCAGGCACACATGCAGTATACAGACAAGCAGGGAGACAGGGAAGGGACGGACAGAAAGCACTACTGGCCACTTTAAGGAGCCACACTGGTGAACAGTAAAAGGATCGTATGCAGAGAATGACAGGACCAGGTGTCTGTCTATAGGTCATGTTGCACTGCTGGATTTGAAGAAGTACAGGGACAACAGGAATACCACCACATTCAGCCAAAGAGGAACACAGAGTAGCTAAGCCTGGTTGGGGTAAGGACTTACGAATCAACTTATCGGAAATATAATTCATATGACATAAACTCACACATCAGAAGAACACAAGGTCAATTTTTGGCAAATGTCCACACCCACATGACAACAACCTAGAGATAGAATGTTGCTATTAGCCCCAAGATCCACTGCTGTCCTCTCTAACTTCCTGCCTCCTCCAGACTCAGGCAGCCAGTGACTTGTTTTCTGTCACAGGAAGACTCATCTGGGTTTTCTTATACTTTTTTTTTCTTGGTTTTTTTGAGACAGGGTTTCTCTGTGTGTAGCCCTGGCTGTCCTGGAACTCACTCTGTAGACCAGGCTAGCCTCGAACTCTCGAACTCAGAAATCCGCCTGCCTCTGCCTCCCAAGTGCTGGGATTAAAGGCGTGCGCCACCACCGCCCGGCTATACTTTTTATAAAAGAAACCACGTGTATTCTATTTTTATCTCTAGCTGTGTTCCCTCAACATGGTTTTGAGATTCATCCATGGCACTGAATGTACTGGTAGTCTTTTGGGCTTTGTTTTCACTATCATCACTGGGTAGTATCCCTTACAGAGATACACCAACACTCATTCCCATTCACTACTGAGGGAGATTTAAGTTGTTTTCAGCCCCCAGGTGTTACAGATGAAGCTGCTAGGAATGCCTGGATACATACATTTGGATACAAACAAGTTTTTATTTATTTGTTTATTTAGAGACAGGATCTCATTCCATAGCCCTGGATGTTCTAGAACTCTAGATAAAGAGACAGGTTTGGCTTTGAACTCATAGAGATCTGCCTGCCTTTGCCTTTGCTTCCAGAATGCTGGGATTAAAGGTGTGGGCCACCATGTTGGCCCTATTTTCATAGACTAATATTTAGGGGTGGAACTGCTGACTGTGCTTCTCGACACTGAATTACTGGGTGAGTTGCTGTGCTAGCTGACATTCCCACAGCAGACAGCAGCAATGCCAGGCCCAGCTTCACTGCACTTCATGTTCCTGCACTTTTACCCTGTCTTTCCAGTGACTGTGACAGGAACCTCTCTGTGCATCTCACTAATGATGTAGGACATAATTTCCTGTGTGGCTGACCAGTCACTTTCCCTTTGCTAAGGTCTACTCAAATCTTTGTCCATTTAAGGCTTTATTAAGGTACAATTAACACATACATACAAAAGATATTTAATGTTTATATTTGGTCAGATTTAGACAGATATAAGCACCTATGAACTCATCTGTTCAAATGAGCATACCTTTCACTTCCAAAGATCCCTCCCACCTACATTCCCCAAGCAGCACCCTGTACAGACTCCCTGTCCCTAGAATGTTACATGAACGGAATAACACGATGGCAGGGTTTCACTCTATAACCCTTGCTTCCCACACTCTATGCTCCTGCCTCGGCCTCCCTAGAGTACCACCCTAGCTCAGAGAATTTTCCTGCCCCTTTGCTCTTCCTCTTTCTTCTTCTCTCTCCACCTCCCTCTGTCTTCAGCATTAAGGAACAAACCCAGGGCCTCACACATGCTAGCCCATAAGTTTCCGAGAAAATAGTGGAGTGTCCCTGCTGGTGGAGCATTCCAGACATCCTATGACCTTACCAAAATTTGCTATGGATGAAGGTGGGGGCTTCAAAAGAATAACAACAACAACCCCATATTTTCCCCTTGTAATTTCCTAATGATGAAAGTTGACCATCTGCCCTATACTCGCTGGAGACCTGAACAGTGGGCTTGTTGGGCTGTCTGCTCAGCGCATCACTAAGTTTCTAGCTATAACACATCTTCTAGTTAAGGGCCTCTAACTTTGGTGCCTTTTTTTCAAAAATGTTTTTTGTGTTAAATACCAATACAGCTGGGCTATGTTACTTTCCTAGAGCAGCCATAAAAAAATTACCGTAAATTTAGTAGTTAAAACAACAGAATTTTCCAGGAGTGCCTTTAACTCGGCACTCAGGAGGCAGAGACAGGCAGATTCTCTGACATTTTCCACATGTCCATAATGAATTTTGTCACTTTCCATTATCCTCCCATGCCCCTCCCTCTTCCACTGAAACTCTTGCTCCCAACAAGTCCCCATCCTACTTCCATGTCTCTTCCCCACTGAGTTGAATGTGCCTGACTGTGTGGCCACAGCTCAGCAGTTATTCATGGAGCGTGGGCAGCTCTCAGTCGATGAGGATAAGGAAGCAGTGTCCCATCCTCCAGCAACCACTGACTGCCCACAGTTCCTTACAGAGTGGGAGTCCTCAGGAGCCCCTCCTCTATACACTACAGAATGGTGACAGGCCAGTCTTCTGGGCCTTAGGAACCACACACAGATGCACTGAGTTTATGAGAGCAACTGTCACACTCTGTCTAGACACATTTTAGTCACAGACTCTGTCCTCTGACATCTCAAAGCCTAAGCCTTCAGACTTTGACCACTGGTTAGGAGATGGACTTGGTGTAAAAGCCATGGACCTGAAGCTCCACAGCCTGTCTTCACAAACCCACCCCTGTCTCCTCATTGCTGTGAGCTTCCTCCCAGGCCTCCTGCAGTCTTCCCATCATGCTTTAGTCAGGGACTGTAGCTTACAATCGTGGGACTCATCTTTGTGGTTTATTGTTTTGCATTTTGTTGTTGTTTCTTTAAAAGGTCATCCTGCCAAATGTCTAAATAGTTTTACTGTGCACCCTGGTCCTGGCCACCAGGGGACAGTCAGTCAGGCTTTCCCTTGGTGCTCTCCTGCCAAGATACTCTCAAGCAACATTTTTTCAACATGCAAATGAATATTTTATCACCTCTGATCTCCATCTTTCAAAATTAAAGTTTCCTCTAGCTTCTATATCTTCTGGGTTCTTTCTAGTTCCTTTATGTCCTTTTTCAAAAAAAAAAAAAAAAACGCACTTCACCACTATTATCTGTGAAGGTTCAGGAGAGCACTTCACTCTGCCATCACCACTGGAGATTCCTCCTGTGGGATGGATTTCAAAATATTAAAGATCTAATATGTGTAAAGCCAAAATAGATCTGGGATTTGGGGAAAATGAGTCTGAGTGTTTTCCAGTGTTTCTAGCCTGAGTGAAAGGCTGACTGTACAGTAATGTCAAAAACTAAGACAGAACACGGGAGCTCACGGGCAAGTTGTGTGAGACACTGAGTCTACAGCACCTCTAGGACGTGGCAGTAGAAGCTCAGACTTGGACTCCTATTCCCAGGCAGAAGCTAAAGCTGTAGGAAAAGGAAAGCTACAGTGAGAAAAAGAACATGAGCAAAGGAAACAAAACTCAGAGCAGAATCTGGGAAGACCAATGCATGACATGACCCCAGTACCACTGTCAGAAGGGACAGGAGTGGGCAGGGGCACACAAACAACCTTCCGAGACAAGGCAAAGTGGCCTATCGGGTACAGGCTGATGGGAACACACTGCAACAGGAAATTGGGAATTTACCAATGACCAAAGCAAGAGTGACTTCAGGAGAAATTTCCCCAGGACCAGGGGTTACATAAGTCAGTAACAGGGAGAAAGCTGGTGTACTCTCCAGTTGGTATCTGTGGGAAAGCTGGAAGTAGACTGGGGTAGTAGTGAAGAGACAAGAAGACAGCCAAGGACACATTTGGTAGTGCTGAGTGGCCTGAAAACAGAGCAGGAGCAAGGAAAGCCTAGAGTAAGCCTCAAAGGATGAGGAGGAGCTTTGCTACTGTGGACTGTCTCAGCACATGTAAGCAGGAGATCTAGAGCTACTGTGGACTGTCTCAGCACATGTAAGCAGGAGATCTAGAGCTACTGTGGACTGTCTCAGCACATGTAAGCAGGAGATCTAGAGCTACTGTGAACTGTCTCAGCACATGTAAGCAGGAGATCTAGAGCATGAGTCCAGGCACAGCGGAATCTCGTTCAATTTAAACAGGTCCTGGACAGAGCTGAGTAAAGTGATAGTTTTGTAAGCCCAAGGACTTGAATTCAGCTCCCAGAACCAGGTCCATGAGGTTGTCCTCTGACCATCACATACACTGGAATATGGGTGCCCCTTACTCCACATCACATA